GGGCTTGACCTGTCCGGTGGGGGCTTAACACCCCGCTGGCGCCGCCACTGCTGTCGTGAACTGGGCCCTCTGGGAGAACAGTAATTTGTTACTGAAGAGGAAACCCAGTATAAAGAACAAATAAATAAATAAAAATCACAAAAACTGTAAATAACGATGATCATAATCATCATCATGGTGATTATGCTTATGGGGATGTTGATAATGTGGACAACGGCTACAGCATTTGGTGGCGGTAAAAACAATAATAAGCACCATATTGTGATGTTCAACTTCAAGACTAAAGAAAATGTCATCAAAATTCGGGAGACACCCACGGTTTTTTTCGAGACCTGGGATTTCTCTACATTCTCCTCCGAAATTAAAGACTCTTCCAACCCATTTAAAATTAATCACAAAACACAAAACATTGACTCTTGCCTAAGGTCGTTCCTGATGCTCATTAACTTTTGCTCTTCTTGTTCACAAATCCTTTTTTATTTTGTATGTTTACGTTGAGCACTGTCGAATAAATTCAATCAATCAATAAATCAATTATTAATTTTAATTTTCTCGCACTAGGAAGAAGATAGGCCTAGTTATATTTCAAAATTATTGTAAATTATTGTAACAAATATTGTGCACGTTTTAGAATCACGTTAATCTACGGAATAGGCCTTATTTGAAATGAGATTCGGAATGTTTCCATGCCATGTTTTCCCCAGCACATGATTAAAAAAAAAACTATAAGCAACAAATGGAAAATAGATGGTATTAGGTCTGTGGTACAGTACATGGTATGGAATCCCAGCTTAAAAATGATGTAATTGATTCAGATAATGTAAATATCAAACGTATCAGGATGGTTACAAATAAAATATGTATGTTAGAATGTAGGCCTACAATTTATTCGGATCAATCAAATTTGCTTTTTTCCATCTTCGACAGGTTATGTCTAAGTACTCTCTACAAATGGAAAATGGTCAGCAACCATTGATTGTTGTTATATCCAACGGACCACAGGTATAATTATGCAATGTTATGATAATGTTTCTAAGGCTCTTTTCTCATATATTATTTTATATTATACAATCGAAATTTTGCCACCCCCTAATTCTTCCACTGAAAGTGGATAATGAAACAACGGAATAAAATGTAACACATGACGAACCGTAACATTAGACGCTCATCTTTCTACATAATGTCCATGTGAAAATTAAATATAATTTTGGATCAGTTTGCTTCAATTTTTCATCTTCAACAGGGAAACCATGAGATTACACTTTGTCTGGTGACAAAGGACGGGGAAGCCGAACCAAAATCCGGGAAACAGGTACGTTAGGAACAAAATAAAAGGTATTATATTAATAAATTTAAGTAATGCATGGAACACACATCATACGTATTGAATAGGGTACTGCACATCTAGTAGGTATATTGTATTTCCATCTGTCATCTGACCAATATGGCACAGAGTAACGCAAAAAAAAAACAAAAAACAAACAAACATTGTTTCGTGCTTTCCGGCCTGCATTTTAATTTTATGAACTGAAACTGTTTTATGTATTAGCCTATAGTTATCACTGTGATTTCAATATAGGCCTATTTAATGAAAACGACAGAGTATTGAAATAAAATGACATCCCAGAAAACACACACACACAAAATATTATACACTGTAAAACGTTTTTTTTTTTGCGAAATTTGTGGTAATGTATGTCAGGAAATAGCATTTATACGACGACGCGTGCAGCAACATTGCAATGTTATTTAATACCTATGAAAACTGGTTACAAAAAACACCACGTTAGTACTCCAAACTGTAACGTTATTATAACGTAAAATCGTTAGATGGAATGTTTCTCTAGCGCCTGTAATACCTGGATTTTAAAAATAGGCCAAATTAATGGTAACAGGTATTGGTGGTGAAGGAAAGTAGGCCTACGACTTAAAACAGCAACCGTCTGATAGGCCTATTTTAAATACAACACATTAGAATTATATGTATCATCGATATTTAAAAGACAAGAATCTTGAGAAATTATTTTTTTTTTGTGTGTATTTTTTCGTATCCTTAGACAGAAAACAAGGGATCTATCCAGCCAACAACATGGTGGCGAAGACTTTTCCAATACCTAGTTGCTTCCCTGTACTGGCTCAGCAGTAACGCCATACAAATACTTGGGTTCGTTAGTCAATTGTACGGTTTTTGGGAGCGATACAATAGAAGATATCATAGAGATATGGAGATACAATTACTGGTCATATCCAGTTCAGGTACAATCATCTTGTATTCAGTAAGCATGAATTAGAAATTTGTAAAAACTACTGTAATTTGAAAGACAATCATTTTACAAATGTAAATATTATTTTCATACTGTATACAAAAATGTTAGTAGAACACAATGGTATTAAATTTAGGAAACGAATATGTCGTCTTGTCTTTAAGACTGGGCTTATTACATTTCTTTAAATGAAGTACTGTATTGTATGTTAATGAAATTAAATTTAATGCTAATAAATGATATGATTAATACATTTAGCAAAAGCTTTGTTTATCTTATTAGTTACTTAGATGCTGCTCATTTCAAGCAAATTGTTTTTAATCTTTCAGTGTTGTTGTACTTTGTTTCTGATTTTACCCTTCTTCAATCATCACTGATATTAATTCGATCGCCATTGCTTGTACATGCGTATTTGGTTTATGTATCGTTAATTCGAAATATTTTAAGACAAAGCTATCTGTTGCCTTTAATTATTCTATATTGCTGATATTATACTTAGTTAACTCTTGTATGTACATTGTAGATTATTATTATTAATATTATTATTATTGTATAATTAGAAATGGCTTATTAGAAATTTGATGTGAAGTTTCGTCCCTGTAGCGTAGTAACACAGTAGGCTGACTGATTCAACTAAATTTCCAAGTAGATTACTACATACAGAAAGTCTCGCCAGCCTCTGATTGCTTTAGTACTTCAAATCACCAATCACAGATCCTATAAAAGACAAAATCAACGTAGACACTGGAGTCACAGTACTCTATAGTTTACTTAATGTTAACCACAATGAAGTCATAATGAAGGGTAATTCCCATTTTATGTTTTAGAGCGGGTGTCCTTCAAAATAAATTATATTACAGTATTGTAGCGATTTGATCTCCGGCTTTATTAGAAAATCGAAAAATATATTTGCTGTTTTTTACCTTTGATCCATTTTATATATAATGAATAAATGCAATATAGCATACAAAATATGCCTGTTTGTTTTTTTAAATGAGTAATCTGATATTTGATACGATAGTGGTACGAAGGTGAAAGTGTACTGGTTCCAGTAGTGGCGCCGGCTTTATTAGAAAATCGAAAAATATATTTGCTGTTTTGCACCTTTGATCCATTTCATATATAATGAATAAATGCAGTATAGCATAAAGCCTAAAAAGAAAAAAAAACTACAATTCGTTGGGGAGAAAAAAAATGATACGCATTTTCTACATATTAGTGGATTATCTACCTGTAACATCGATTAAATAAGCTTGGGCGACGACCGACCACGCCCACTTCAGGCCATGTCAGCATATTTCCCCATAAAAATTTAGCTTGCCCTCACCCCTAAAATTTTGCCTTGCCCCCCCCCCCCCCCCCATTAG